CAGTGGAAAACACAAGCTCCCAGGTAGTGGCAGAGGAGTTCATTCAAGAGGTGGCCCAGCTTCCAAGAGAAAACTATGCATTCATGTAAGTGTGCCTCTTCACACGCCACTAAGTAAGTGTGCCTCCTCATATACTACTAAATTGGAAGGATATTTCTTCAGACAAATGGGTTGTAAAGATTTTTCAAAGGGGTTTACAACTCCCCCTTTTAAGGTTCCCAGTTCAGAGGTTTGCACCCGGCAGAGAGGTGAACCCAGTGCTTGATGCCTCTCTTTCCCCAGCTTTATATCAAGGGAAGATAGAGTTGGCAGATATGTCTAACACAGGATGGGTCAGTCCCAATCCCAAAATCAGACGGTTTCTGGAGACCGGTTCTAAATGTTAGGTCTCTGAATGCTTCCCTCAAAAGAAAAAGGTTCAGGATGGAGGATTTATCAGATCTTCCAGGCTTAGTACACAAAACATTTTTCTGCATAAAGTTAGACGTAAAAGATGCCTTCCATTTAGTCCTTATAGATGGGTTTTGGTGGAAAGGAAAGGTGTGGCAGTGGACTGTTATGGTGTTTGGCCTATCCAATGCACCATAAACATTCTCCAGAATAATGAAATCAGTGATAGCCCATGTCAGGCTAAAAGGTTACATGTGTCTGTACTATCTAGACGACAGACTGCTCATGCACTTATATGGGGAAGTCCTTGCTTCTCAGAGGGATAATCTTGCTTACCTTTTACAAGACCCAGGATTTGTAGTGAATTTACAGAAATCAGCTCTAATTCACACTCAAAGCATTCTCTTTCTGAGTTTTGTACTGAACATCAGGACTATGTCACTAGGAATCCCTTAGGACAAATGGGACAAATTATTGGCATATCTGACCTCATCTCTGAGGCACCAGAGTTAGTCGTTAAGAGATCTGGCAAAGATTATCGGGAAATTAATAGCTTTAACACCAGCCTATGACAATTCCCCTTTACTTTGAAGAAGAAGTCAGCTGTTTTTAAGGAATCGATTAAGACAGGGTGGCCACTGGGAATTAAAATTATTTCTCCCCAAGAAGGTCAGAGAAGAGTTTAAGTCTATTATGTGGTTAGAAATCCCACTTCATCGTCCCCTGTTAGAGCAGCTGTTTGCAGTTACTGACGTCAGATGACTCAAATCATGGTTGGGGTGCATTTACAGCCCAAAATGCGATAAGAGGAATTTGGTCAGACCAAGAGAGACTCCTTCATATAAACATTTTATGTGACAACAGGACAGGACAACCCGACTTAGTAGGCCGGTCTTGTTATTATTTATTAATTGCATCAAGGTTTCTTTTGTTAAACTGATGTGTTTCTTACAAATTCAAATTTACATGCCACCAAATGTCATTGTAAAGTTCATTGTTACAGAATATGGTTTCAGTATGGTTTCTCACTCCAGTAGGAAATCTATATTCCTCTTCTTCAGCTTCTTCCTAGTAACCACTTTTTCCTGAGTTGTGGGTAGCAATATGTGTCCTTTAGTGTCAGGTGCTTTGCTAGTCAATCAGGTATTCTCAGTACTATGTTTCATCTTGAGAGAAATAGCTGGGTGTTGACAGTTATCAGCCTTTATTTATTTTTCTGGACATCTTCTGTCTGGAAACATAATAGCAATGTCCAGAATTAGCATAGCATTTCCTTTCAGCATAAGAAGGCTGTTTGCGGTAGTCATTCAATGATAAACTATATGGCAAAGTTTTTTCTTGCATCACCTTATAGGTGTATCCAAAGTCTTTCACAAGCATCTGTCCCATCTTTTTCTAAATCCAGCATGCTTTGCCATCATCGTTGAGTCCATTGTTAGGATTTGAAATAGTCCAATCACATCTTTCTCATGTATGTTCAGTTTTTGGAAGGATCTTCAATAGGTTACTTGTGAAATACCAGTGCATGGTCACATTAGGTCACATTAAAAATAATTTCACTGTGAGCTGTGTCTCTCCTTTTGAGATGGTTCTTGGAGGTTGTCCTCACGATCATAGAACTTGTATTATGTGCAGTCCAATATAGTTCAGTTGCTTCTTACTTGT